TCCGATTCCAAACGCACTGTGGAGTTTCAAAGTTATTTCCGTGCGCCCGCCGGGCCGACGACCCCCTCTGCCGGGCCCCTCTCCTCCCGCCACCGCTCAGGAGAGTCGAGCAAGTTTCCAGAGCCGAGGAGCAGTCTTTCCTGCAGCCCCTCAGCCTCCGCTCCCGCCCTCCCCGAGGCTCCGAGGGTGCCCGGCCCACTCCAGGACCGGCATCACGTCTGCCCGCAGCACTTCCCGCCCCCTCCCCCGCACACACAAAGAGTGGGCTGCCTTGCGGGCCTAGGCCGAGCTCTCCGCGGGAGAGCGCAACAGCGGGTTCGGGAAAGCCCAACCGCCGCGCGCCAAACACCGCTCCGGCGACAACAGCGCGCGGACCCCGAAGGGGCGGGCGGCGTCCAGCTCACCTTGGTGGTGATCTCGGAGCTGGTGTCGACGGCCGTGTCTGACATGGTGGGGCACGCCGGTGATCCTATGCAGCGGATTTTTTTTTTTAAAAAGCGAGAGTTGGAGGACTCTGGCGAAGAAGCTGCCGGAGTCCGCGGCGGTGGAGGAGGCGCGCGGCGGAGGTGGTTGCAGCGAGCGGAGAGGGAGCCACAGGAACAATGCAAAGATGGCTTTTCAGAGCAGCCAGTGGGGAACTCACGCGGCGCCAGAACCTTTAATATAGATTAGTGGGCGGCGCCCGGCCTCCCTTACCCAAATGCTATTGGTTGGGCGCAGGGAGCGGGCGCTCGTTCATTGGCTCCAATCTGAACAATGGGCAAGCGTGCTTAAAGCGGCAGTGCCTTGGTGCGTCCCGCGCTGCGCAGTCGCCGGCCGCTCTGTCATTCAGAGACTGAGTTTGCCCGGTCTCAGCGGCGCCGAAGCCGCGGGGGAAGGGCTCGCGCGCGCGACCTCAGTCCCCCCCCCGCGGAAGGAGGGGGAGGCGCGTACGACGGCTGCCAGCGAGGGGGAGGGGAAGACCGGGTGCTGGGCTGCGCTCACCCCGGGCGGTGCCTGCGCAGTGCCCGCAGAGATCCTTGCCCCACACGCCTGGGCACCTTCGACCAAGAATTGCCCCAGTGCAAGGGGGCGTAGGTCCCAGACAAGCGTTGAGGGCTGCGAGCCCCGCGGAAGGAGGGGGAGGCGCGTACGACGGCTGCCAGCGAGGGGGAGGGGAAGACCGGGTGCTGGGCTGCGCTCACCCCGGGCGGTGCCTGCGCAGTGCCCGCAGAGATCCTTGCCCCACACGCCTGGGCACCTTCGACCAAGAATTGCCCCAGTGCAAGGGGGCGTAGGTCCCAGACAAGCGTTGAGGGCTGCGAGGCCAAGACCCGCGCACCTGGGCTGCCCGCACGACCCTCTCACTTTGTTCACCCCCTCTGCCCAGTCCCGGGGGCTCCGAGTCTTTGGGGATGTCACCACCTTTACCCACCACTTGCCCCTGCATGCACCCCCTAAAACAGCCGACGAGCGGGCGCCATGCCAAGCACACACACTCGGTGTTTCAGACATCGAAGGGCCTGGAGGACCGATGCGGGCTACTACCTCGAGCTGGGCAGCCCCCGGGCGTGGTCTCCAGGGTCTGGATAGCGCCTGCCCCGACGGTCAGTGCCGTCGCGACAGCCTCAGGGAGCTTCCCTCCAGAGCCCGGCCATCTAGTCTCCCCGTCTCCCCTCCCACTTAAGGGGCTGCGAGGGACACATGGGCTGCGAGGGAGTATAAGGGGGCAATAATCATCCCTAGGTCAGTTGGGTTAATCCTTGGGGGGGCTCCTTGAAGTTTGGGGCGCCCTGTCGGGGACCACGCGGAGCCCGGAGAAGGGAACCATCAAGCCGCCACACTCAAAATGGCGTTGGGCTCCGCGAGCGCAGCGTGACGTGTCGACCCAACCCTTGCAGAGGATCGAAAAACCGTAGGCTGCATCCTCTTTATCGCCACCTCACTTGGCTGTCGAATTAAGAAACCAGCTGTGTGGGAGGAAAGGTTAGAAGAGGTGCAAGTATGTTCCAGAAAAATACCTCAGCCACACACAACATGGCGACAGACAGGGTTCATCCCTGCGCTGCCAGAAGGGGGCGCCCGACACGGAAGGCGGGACTCCGGAGGGACGAGCGCACATTGGCTGAGAGTGGCGGGCGAACACAAAGTTGACGCTTTGCGTCCTTCCATTGGCGGGTCCCACTGTCTGTCTCTCGGGGCCGCCGACTTGGGAATGGAGAAAACCCGGAGTCTGGGATCGTAGAGGAGGGACGGATGCCAAATCCTGCAGGACTGTAAGCCTGGTGCAGAGGAGAGACTGAGTCTCCCCTCTCGGTTTCCCTAGGTCAGGGGCCAGCTGGCGCCATGTCCACCGCGAAACCCATTTACTGAGCTGGCCGCGCACTCTCCCGGCAGCCCCACGGGCTCCGACTCCGCGACCTGGCCGGGAAGAGGCCTG